GCAGCCCGGCCCGGCCCCCCGGGCCCACTCGTCTCCCCCTTCACCCCCCCCCCCCCCCCTGCGCCTCCTCTTTGCCATTTCCGTTCGTCCTCGAAGGTCGACTGAGCTGCGCGCTCTCCCGGCTCGCGGCGCCGGCCAGCTGCCTCTCGTGTAGGTATGACTCTGCGGGTCGCGTGAAATCGCCGCATGGGGCAATGTTTGCCCTCGTCTCCCGGCGCGCGAGCTTGTTCTTGGCACCGGAGCGTGCATTGGGGACCGCCGGTATTGGTCTGGCTCCGTCGGGCGAGCGCGCCCCGGCCCGCGCCAGGAAGAGTGGCATTATTCGAATTGCAGGCCCCGGAGGCGTGCTGTCGCACGAGGATAGCGCGGGCCGAGACGAGCCCGGGGGTGCGCCGAGCACGGGTCATCTGAGTGACCGGCGTAGCGGCCCACCAGGTCAGCCTGCCCCCTGTGCCGTCGCCGACGTTGGGCGCCCCCTTTCATGCCGCGCGGTAACAAAGCGGGGGGGGGACGGGTGAGACCATACAATCTCATGGGCAGAGCTCACGTTGGCCGATGCGTCGGCCCGTCGGCGGTTGACACCGTCTGTCCATCGCGCATGTCTTGGCGCGTCCGCCGGCCTTCTTGTTCCTATCTCGCCCCCCCCGGGTGGGTGCAACTCAGCATGCTGACTCGGAGCCAGGCGCGCGCTCAGGGCGAGCAGGTCCCCCTAGCCCTCCGCCTCAGCGCGTGGCATGGCGCGCCCTGCTCCCGTGCCGCGCCCCCTCCCTTGTGTATTCCTCTCGCCGGCCACCCGCGGGGTCGAGGCTCGGAGGGGCGGATAACTACTGACCAGGCTGGTTGGCATGCACATGGCCCCCCGCCCCCCCCCCCGCGCGCGCCCAAACAATCAGGCCGACAAAGTACCACTCTCGCCGGCTTCGAGGGACCGGGGGATACCGACCCATGGGTAGCGCTCACCTGTCCGAGCTACGGGCGCCGACGGCCCGCTCATCCAGGGACCTTCAGGCGCCTTCAACCTCGGTCGCAATGCGTCCTGCTGTTGCTGCTATCGGGCAGTCCCGAAATCCCTCCCGTGGTCCGCTCCGTCTCTCTGCTGCCCTAATACACTCGCCCTGCCGCCGGCCCCCCCCCCCCCCCCCCCCCC